TCTACCCTCATTAACCCAGTCACTAAGCCAATCTATTTCACCAAGAGTCTTCCTTTATTGTGCTGTCCCTCCATCCTCCCAAGCATAACCTCCCTCACTAAGGATTGGTCCCTCCTTGCAACATGCCCAAGGTCAGATGGAGCTTCAGAATCCTTGCTTCCAAGGAGCAGCCTGATTTTACCTTCTCCAGGATGAACCTGTTTGTTCTCCTAGCAGTCCATGGTAATTCAATACTCTTCTCCAGCACCACAGCTCAAAGGCATCAATTCTCCTTCTATCATCTTTAGTCATTGTCTAGCTTTCTGATGCATAGCTAGTAATTGCAAAGACCTTGTCCTGGATCAGGCACAACTTAGTCTCCAGACTAACATCATTGCTCTTCAATATGCTGGAGAGGTTCCCTGACAGCAGATTTTCCCAATGGATTAATCTTTTTATTTCCTGGATGCTAGTACCCTCAGCGTTAATTGTGGAACCAAGCAAAATGAAGCTGTTAAAAATCTCAATCTCTTCACCGTCTATCATGATGCTGCCAGTTGGCCCAGTGGTGAAAATATTTTTCTTGATGTTGAGCTTCAATACATATTGAAGGCTGCAATCTTTGATTTTCTGCAGCAAATGCCTTGGGTCTTCCTCAGTTTTGGCAAGCAAGGTTGTGCCATCTACATAACGTGGGTTGTTGATGAGTCTTTCTCCAATCCTGATGCCACATTCTTCCTTATAGAGCCTGGCCTCCCAGATGATCTGTTCCACAAAGAGACTGAAAAGGTAGGAAGATAGGACACATCCTTGGTGTACAGCCTTCCCAATTTTGAACCATGCTGTGTTTCCTTACTCTGTTCTGATAACCACCTCCTGGTCCAAGTATAGGTTTTGTATAAAAACAATCAAGTATCCTGGGATTCTTATTTTTCTGTTAGCCTCAGTTTGTTGTGATTCACACAGTCAAAAGCCTTTGTATAGGCAATGAAATACAGAGAGACATACCCCTGGTGCTCTCTGCTTTCAGCCAAGATCCATCTAACATTACCTCAGCCTCTTCTAAACCTAGCCTGTACGTCTTGTAGTTCTCTGCTGATGTGCTGTTCCAGTAATTTTTGGGTAATTTTCAGCAGGATCAGGCTTGTATGTGATATTAATGATATTGTTATATCATTTCTGTGCTCTTTTGAATCACCTTTGTAATGGGAACAAATATGGATCTCTTCTAGTCAGCTGGCCAGCTGGTTGTCTTCTAGATTTCTTGGCACAACTTGGTGAGCATGTCCAGGGCAACATCTGTTTGTTGAAATATGTCTATTGGTATGCAATTCTGTAAAGTAGATACTTTTATTCTATTTTACAAATGAAGAAATAGAAGTTCAGAGACAAAGGCTAGTATGTAGTAAAAGTGACATTTGGGCCCAAGTCTATTGACTCTTGAAACAAGGTTTTTAACCTCTGTATTCGGCCATCTCTGGGGAGCTCTGGTGGCTCCAAGTTCCCTCTTGGGCAGTGAGAGCTAGCTAGCTTTTTGAGCATAGGCCTTCCTTGGAGATCACTAACAGGCAGGGAATTATTGGAGCCTGCCCTATTCTGTAAACACTCGAGGACTCAAAGACAGTGTAGTCTGCAGGACATGATAGCGCGCTCTCTCTCTCTCTCTCACACACACACACACACATACACACAGAGATAGTGCAAATTATAGATGATTTCTTTTCACCAGAAAGTTCTTGCTTTTCCCAGTTCTCTACATCCCTAGTTCCATACAGAGGGAAGATAAGAATAAGGGTATTGTGGTTGCCACTAAGGTGTGAACAAGGGAGCTGATGCCATGCAAGCTTTCTTTTGAGTGACTGTTTCTAAAGTGTTGATGTCTGCTATAAAAAGGTCACCTGGCCTTTTCTTTTTTTTTAGTGACTAGGGATTCTAATCTTCTTGGTGTGACTAGTATTTAATGTGAATAGCACTTCAGAAACTTCAGGGGAATAAAATCACAAGGGAGAATGAGTCTGCTCACAGGTATATAAGGGAGTTAGCAAGAGAAGACTTCCTGGGAGGAGAGTTTTGAAAATAGGAGCCAACATTAAAAAGCTGGAATTCAGAACCATAAAGAGACCCTTGCTGACCAGAACCTCATTACAAGGATCTAGTCATTCTTTCTTGGGGTTAAAAAAGTGTCCACTGAGACAATTTGGTTTATCTAATCTTTCTGTAATTTTAAGCTATTCTCTCCTCTACAAATAATTATAGATGCTGTAACCCCAAGAATACTTTCAAATACCCATCCCTGGGTTGTTGTTGTTATGTGCCGTCGAGTCACTTGCGACTCATAGTGACCCTATGTACAACCGTCCTAAACTATGCTCTGTCCTGTGCCAATTGTACTGCCTCCAAAACACCCATCCCGATTACCCCAATTACTGAATCAATCCACCTCATAGAGGGTCTTCCTCTCTTGCGCGGTCCCTCCACCTTCCCAAGCATGATGTCCCTCTCCAAGGACCTCTCCCTCCTTACAACATGTCCAAAGTATGTCAGATGAAGCCCCAGAATCCTTACCTCCAAGAAGTAGCCTGGTTTAACCCTCTCCAGGATGAATCTGTTTGTTTTCTTGGCAGTCCATGGTACATTCAATACTCTTCTCCAGCACCACAGCTCAAAGGCATCAATTCTCCTTCTATCCTTCCTAGTCATTGTCCAACTCTCTGATGCATAACAAGTGATTGCAAAGACCACCTTAGTATCCAGAGTGACACCATTGCTCTTCAGTGCCCTGGAGAGGTCACTAACAGCAGACTTTCCCATCGCAATATGTTTTTTTATTTCCTGGCTACTGGTGCCAAGAGTGTTGACCGTGGAGCCAAGCAGACTAAAGCTGTTAACAATCTCAATCTCTTCACCATCCCTGGGTTAGTAGGATAAAATATATTGTAACAGACTTTAAAGACTTTTTTTTTTATGCAACAGCAAGAGATAAGAGGTTTATTGCGGAGCTCCGGGCGACCCTTATCTCTCGCAGGAGACAGAGGAGTCGACCGCGAGCAGACAAAGTTGGGTTTTTTAATACACTTTAGGGGGATACAACTGGGTATCAGCTTCTCATTGGGTGATGAGACTTTAAAGACTTTTGTGCACTATTCCTTCCTAAATCCTCATATTTTCTCCTGTTACCCTTTCCCTTTCCCTAAAATGCACTCTGGTAGTGCAGTCCTTAGATATGCTGCTAACCCAGAGGTGGTCTTCTTTGGGAGAAAGATGTGCTAGCTCCTCCCATGCGATATACAGCCTTAGAAATCCACTAGGAGTCTGTTCCTTCAATAGCAGCAAGTGAAAATGCACATACACACACACACCACACACACACATTTCCAACCACTCTCAATTAATTGTAGTTCCACAAACACACTAGAGTTGTCACTTCTCTGCCTCTGGATCCCTGTACCTCTGTTTCCGTCTCCTTCACACTCTCAATGTTTCTATCCTGGTCACATGGTAAGTTGGTCTTCTTCCAAGATCCAGCTTCTTTCTCTGAATTCTCAGTGTTTTGCAGAGCATTGATCAATCACATGGTCATGGATAATGTGCCTGCCTGCTTACCTCTAGATGTGTGCTCCTTTAGTAAACAACTCAATATGGTGATTTCATAATAATAATATGGTGAGGAATATGATGAAGCATGTTGACCTTATTCTGATGAATCATACAGAAAGAAATGGGAAACGAGACTGTGACTGAGTATCTATCAAGCACAAGTTAAAAAAAAGGGGGGGGAGTGGAGCTGTTACCATCTCTAAGGCTTCAGAATGAAGCTTAACTGAAGAAGGTTCTGGACCCAATGAGAATGAAACATCCTGATGACAAGACACATTAGCTCTTCAAGAGCACAACAGTGGTTCTAGTAGGCTATTAGGAGACCCAGGGAATGGGGTTTGCAGGAGGTCCTCCTCAGAAATTGTTGTTAAAAATCGCCTCTCGATTTTCTTCTCAAACAGGTGACAGTGATGTTATTATGCAGAATGGGAGATGGACTTGTGCGTATGAATGTCTAGGTATACTGATATTGTAATAGTTCTTGGGGAGAAAATGAAATCTCTTAAATACTAGAATTTAGCAATATTAAGTATTTAAGTCTTAACGTTTCAAACTTTTCAGTGCAAATGGTACCACCTATTTATTACTATTATTATTAAAGGTTAACATGACTGTCTAATGCCCCTAGAGTCAAACATTCAGGCAGGGGGTGTATTTAGGAGGGTTCAACAGAACTCTGGACTTTTAAAATCCAAGAGTGGGAGGCCCTCACATGTAAATAAATCTTTTCGTCTTTAAAACAGAATAAACGAAAACAAATGGTTATCATGACGTCTATTTTGACATGGTAGCAACAACATATGTTTCAGAATAAAGATATCCTTGAGTTTTCCAAATGATGACCTTTTAAAAGCAAACCACCAGGTCTTTTCTTCCAAGGTGCCTCTTAGCAGGTTCCCAACCACCAACCTTTTGGGTAGTACACAGGGACTATAAAATGAAATAGAACCCAAGATTTGAGGCTAACAACTCAAGAACAGAAGAACTGAAAGTCTTTTTTAAAATATTAACTCAGAGTAAATTCACTATGAATAATCACAATTTGACCCCAGAATGTTCAAGAGTTCTTACTTGCCGCAATGAAATAAGTACCAAGAAATTGCCTGTAATAAAATATGTGAAGCACTAAGAGTGATTAACTTCTAAACATCAAAAGTGTAAATGACTGGCTGCTACTTCTTATCTATTCTGAGGTGAAGGAAGAGAGCCGGGGAATGCCTCGTGGCTACAAACTGCTCTCCTGCCCGCTTGTGAGGTTGAAATCGTCAGCCACCACAACACAAGGGTACTTCTTGAAAAACCACAGCCAAACAAAGGGAGACAAACAGTAAGAGAATCGGCTTCTGAAAAGCAGAAATGGCTAAGGCAGATCACCACTTGAGAGATCTGAGATGAATGATCCTAGAAAGGGAAGGGTAGAAGCACTCAGCTCTCCCCAGGAGTGGTTTCCGGGGTTCCCCGGCTCACAGCTATTTGGGAAGTGGAGGTCTCAGGTGTTCCTGCTAGCGCTGGTAAAGCGTGTGGCTCCTTTAATTCCAGGACCACGCGGCTCAGAAGGCTTTTGAGCAGCTGCATTTCTTGGAGCAGAAGGTCCACGCCGGGTTTGAGGCCTTCTGCTGACTGTTCCAAAGGGGAGAGCGGGGCGCAGGCCGGGGGCCCAACAGTGGGGGCACCGCCCACGCGGAACAGTAGTCCCGAGGAGGTGGTGTTTGGGTTGGAGGTGACATAAGGGACTGATCTGGATACCGCCGGAGGCTTTCTGAAGGAAAGCGGCTTGTTACTGGGCGCCAAGGCTGCGGGCTGCGGTGCGGGGGCGGTGGTGAACCCCAGGTCCGGAGCAGAGCCTGCCAACAGGACGCACGGAGCTTGGCCCGAGGGCAAGGGACAGGCGTGGAGAGGGCGAAAAAGGCGGAAATAGGTTGTTTTGGGGTAGTTTTTTTAACGTGACAGAGTGGAGCAGGGTGAAGAGGGAGGTATTAAGAGACAAGCAAGGGGAGGCGGGGAGCTAGGGAAACGAAAGGGTGCTCCGAGGTGCGCAGGGGGAGGGGCGGTCCCCGAAGATCGAGCAGGGAGTGGCGGCTCCACTGTCACTCACCGCGCCCGGGGAGCTGCAGCCACGGGCTGCGTTTCCGCACGCTGCGGGTGGCGGTGGCCGCCTCGCACCAGTACGATTCCAGCTCCTCTACCTCCGGATCCGGGACCGTGTACTCGGCGCCCCAGTCGAAGCGGCGCGCAACACGGCTGTACTTGTAGAAGGCGAACTGCAGCGGCGTGTCGCGCTTGTGCGGGTGCAGGCGCGTGACGCAGCGCACCACCACCCCGCCGGGCGTCGCGCCGCGGGCCTCCACGTGCCCCATCACCCGCAGAACCGGCGCCGGGAACAACTCTGCGAAGAGGGCGGGCTAGTGGCTGAGGACGCCCGGGGGAGGGGGGATGAACTGACTCCTACGTGTGCGCAGCCGGCGACCCCTCTGTCCCTCCCGTTTCCTTCGGAAGCTCCTCATCACCCGGAGACCCAAGAGAGGACTCGGGGTTGTCGGACGTTTCATTGTCTCATCCCGTCTGATACTCAGCACGACTGAGAAGCAGAGATGCAGAGCTTGCCATGTGTGTCCCTGCAGTTTCCCTGACGCTCTAGAAGCTGTTCCTTTGCCCCTGTCCCACAGAACCCCCTATCACAGCTGTTGTCATTCAGGCTCAGGTTCGGGCCACTATGTGGGGTCCCAAACGGAGTAAGAAACTAGGGTGTGAGTTTGAGCTGGAAAGGTGGGCACCCGCCCCAGGAGGGCAATATATAGGTCAAGTACACCATCACCATGGAGGAACTAAGAGCAAGCAGAAAAATTCTACTTGCGCCAGTTCTTGAGTCTCCCAGACTGTCCCTCTCCCAGAATTTCCCAGTGCTCGTTTGCTCCCCTCCTGGGTCTCAGGGCTCCCGCACCTTGCACGGTCACGGCCACCTTGGCGGAGAACATAGGCGCGCTCTCCACAGGGATGCGCATGGTGCCAGAGCACTGGTAGCGCCCGCTATCACTGGTGCGCGCCTGTGGCACCGTGTAGTTGGAGCTGGAGTGGAAGTAGCGCACCGCCTGGCCATCGCGATAGTAGTGAAGCTTGTAGACGACCTTGTCGTACCAGCCGCGACAGCGCATGACCAGAGACTCGCCTTCGAAAACTGCTGCATAGGGCACCTGCAGGATCAGCCAGTCTACAACATAAAATGCAGACACATTGGACTCCAAGAGAAGTCCAGCCCCAGAGATCTCGTCCCGTCACATTTTTCTCCCAGCTCTGCGCCCATGCATACTATATATACACTATTCCTCCCCTTGATACCAGCCACCCCCTCCTCAATCCTGATGTTTTACAAGATGAGTGGGGAGGTGAGAGATGTTGACCCATTTCGATACAAGAGTGGTAAAGATGCCTCAAACTTGGTTCTAGCCAACATTGCTTTTAAGAATTACGTTTCAGTTCCTTAGGATGGCATCAGTACCTTCCTGAGAAGGCCCCTGCTTGCCTATTCATCACGGTGTCAGAATTCTCCGCTTTACTATTTCTCTGTTAATCTTCAGACCTTTCACTCTTAACGCAGGTTAGATTCTAACCTGAACTGCTGCTAGAAGACTTGCACCTTCCTTGAGTATTTGAACCTGCTATTTCCTCAGCTAAGAAATACCCTCTTCACCTGATCAGATTAATGTTTGGTTGTTTTTCTGGTCTATGTTTAGAATTTATCTCCTCTAGAAAACATCCCGGACTACCCCATCCCCTCCAGGACAGCCTCAGGCACCTTCCATAGTACCCCAAATTTACCGTATTACCATCATCATGTTGTTGTTGTTGTTGTTATGTGCCGGTTGTTAAGTCACTTGTGACTCATAGCGACCCTATGTACAGCAGCCCTAAACTCTGTTCTGTCGTGTGCCAATCTCATTATCTCCGACACACTCATCCCCATGACCCCAGTCACCAAATCAATCCATCTACTAGAGTGCCTTCCCCTCCTGCGCCTGCCCTCCACCCTCCCAAGCATGATGCCCTTCTCCAAGTACTGGTCTGTCCTTACAACATGACCACAGTATGTCAGATGGAGCCTCAGAATCCTTGCCTCTAAAGAGCAGCCCAGTTTAACCCTTTCCAGGATGAAGCTGTTTTCTTAGCAGTCCATGGTACCCACAATACTCTTCTTCAGCACCACAGCTCAAGGGCATCAATTCTCCTTCTATCCTCCTTAGTCATTGTCCAACTCTCTGACGCATAACAAGTGATTGCAAAGACCATAGCCTGTATCAGATGCACCTTAGTCTCCAGAGAGACACCGTTGCTCTTCAGTACTTTAGAGAGGTCCCTAACAGCAGACTTTCCCATCTCAATACGTCTTTTTATTTCCTGGCTGCTGGTGCCAAGAGTGTTGATTGTGGAGCCAAGCAGTCTAAAGCTGTGAACAATCTCAATCTCTTCACCATCGCTCCTACCATAGCTAACATAAACCAAGTGTCATTTAAGGTTTATGCAATTAGAGTATTTCTGTATGTAGAAGTCATGAACTGTTTACTTTCAGTTCTGCAAGAAATAACCACTGTGTATCATAGTATCTTTCCAATGAAAAAGACAAAGATGAGTTGTTGTTGATGTTGATGTTAGGGAACAAAGGAAGTAGAGGAGTAGAAAATAATCTCAATTTCTCTACGAACAGTCATTTATGTGATCCAATGAAGCTTGGGCGACTCCTCAAGAAAACTGCACTGAGTTTCTCTTTACTACTTGAATAGGAACCATCCCCTGACATCACATTTTAAGCAACTTTTAACTAATAGTTGTTGTTGTTGTTATGTGCCGTCGAGTCACTTGCGACTCATAGCAACCCTATGTACAACAGCCCTAAAACCTGTGCCAATCTCACTGCCTCTGACACACCCATGACGATTACCCCATCTCATAGAGGGTCTTCCCCTCTTGCGCCGTCCCTCCACCCCCCAAGCATGATGTCCCTCTCCAAGGACCTGTCCCTCCTTGCAACATGCCCAAAGTATGTCAGACGAAGCCCCAGACTCCTTGCTTCCAAGGAGTTGCTTGGTTTAATCCTCTCCAGGATTCATTTGTTTGTTTTCTTGGCAGTCCATGGTACATTCAATACTCTTCTATAGCACCACAGCTCAAAGGCATCAATTTTCCCTCTGTCCTCCCTAGTCATTGTTCAACTCTGTGATGCATAACAAGTGATTGCAAAGACCATGGCCTGTATCAGGGGCACCTTAGCCTCCAGAGAGACACCGTTGCTCTTGAGTACTTTAGAGAGGTCCCTAACCGCAGACTTTCGCATCGCAATACGCTTTTTGATCTCCTGACTGCTGGAGCCAAGAGTGTTGACTAATAGTAGGCAAGCTAAAAAACATATTTTACTCTTGAGAATTGTGCGCTTTAAAAATATTATCCAGTGAGACCAAATGGACAAGTTACTAGAAGTAATGAGAATGTTGATACAAACTGAAGAATGTCACTGATGCCACTGGCAGGAATTATTGAGTGGGAATCTTTTTTACAATAAAATATTTTTTAAAAAAGAAATGGCAGTGTAAATATGAAGTGTGTATAAATGCTAATTTGAACAGTGAATGCTGTCCCTTAAATTTCAAATACAAATTATGATCTACCAGGCTTAGATTACAATTACTCCATGTGAATTAGTTAATCCTCTGCCTTAATCAACAAATTATTGTTTCTTCTCTTGTCTTGTATTTAAACCCAACAAGGAAGCTAGTTTCTTGACTGACACCATGTATTCATGTATGTTTCTGTTACAAAATTTTGATAAATACTCTGCTCAGTTACTTTTTTCTTTCACAATATGTAATCATTTTTAGTCTTCATTACAATCAATAGGCTAGATATTGTTTTTGTCCTAATTTCACTGCTGTGAAAACTGTGGCACAACCTATTCAATTAAGAGTTATTCCCCTACACAGTTGAAGGTCCTGGATAGATTGGATGAAAATGTGTTATAAAGCTTAAAAAAACATAAAAATGACTAGGCTTTCTGGTCTAGTAAAGACTAGTAGAATACTAAAACTTAAAAGTCATTCTTTAAAACTGGAACAAAACTCACCTCCATGATTTAACTTCCAGCCTAGAGAGTAAACAATAAATAAACACCCAGCAGTCACTCCTTAGAAGAATAAACCATGTAAGACAAAAAGAGAAGCATTCATTCAAGGATAAAGCTCAGAAGGCAAGAAGGGATAGAATATAAAGATTAATAGAAATGAGAATCACAAGGAGGGAGTAGGAAGGGTGAAGTCACATTGTGTTGTAATCAGAGTCATAAAACACAATGTGTCTTTATCTTCATTTTTCAGGTGTGTCTCTTGTAGACAACATATTGATGGATTTTGTTTTTTTATCCAATCTGCTACTCTCTTTCTCTTCAGCGGTGCGTTTAAACCATTCACGTTCAGTGTGACTATTGAAAGGTTAGGTTTTATTGCTATCATTGTGTTGAGTTCTTTTTGGTGTTGTTGCTAGTTA